GGTAATTACACATACCCCCGGTTTCACAAACAAGGCTTAAGCCTAGTCCCAGACTAAAGTGTAAGTCTGAGCCGTTTTAACTGAAAGAAACTTGCACTGACTGATCTTAAAATATATCAGTGCCTTTGTTTTGTCTCAAGATGCATACCAATAATGTTTTTTTCTAAGGCATGTTAATAAAATTACTTAAATGTCCTAATTGAAAAATGGCGTAATCCTGATTTAGTCTAAGCCCTGTCTGTGAAACCGGGCCTTAGTGTTAAGAATCAAGCATATGTAAACTTTTCAACAAGGTTATTTTTTATAAATTCTATTTATATAATTTATATTCTAGTTATTTTATTAGAACAGATAAATAATACATTCTAGTTATTTTGTCTTGTGGATGTGGAATATATGTAAACGTGTTAAATGAAATAGTTTATTCAGGACAGCACCAAAAAAAACATGCAATTTTCATGATCCCTCTTATTTTGTTAATATTATTAACATTTTGCATATTCTGCAAGGGGTATGATCTGAACTGTAATTCAAAGGGAAAACACCTTTTCATATCCCATTGGCAGATATTTGTTCCCTATACTCTAATTTAGTATAGGGACCAATTCTCACTATTAAATAGTGACTTATTAGCATGCCTCTTGTTAACATATTGGCTGTTTATTAGTGCTTATAAAGCACATATTCTGTATGACCTTATTCTACATCCCTAATCCTACCCAATACCTAAACTTAACAACTACCTTCTAATTATCAGCAAATTAGTAGTTTATTGAGGCAAAAGTTACAGTTAATAGTTTGTTAATAGTGAGAATTGGACTGACTGTTCTTTTAAACTAAAATTCACCTAATTTTGTTCAATTTCTCAGAAAACAAGACTTCATATCTTCATTTCACATCTCAAGTGAATGTATCTTTATTTAAGGATGTTTATTTGTATCGGAAAACAAGACAAAAAACACTAAATAAATAAAATTTCCATAACTTTCTGAATCTAAGACTTGCTCTGATTTAAGACCTTTTTAAGGCCTTAATTTGTAGAAGGGCAAATTAAGACTTTTTAAGATCTACAGAATCCCTGAATGAAGCTACACAACGCACACTCGCAGCTGCATCAGCAGGACAGTGTTTGCAGTGCATCTCTGTGCCTTACACTGTTTAGGACACTGAAATGAGCTTTTGATGAGAGAACAATCCTTTCTCAGAGGCTGTAGGGGAACAGCGCCTGCTCTCTATCTCTTTAAGAACTCTCTGTGTATCTGTTCTTTAGCACACACATCCCACTGTTTCCTGTGTAAGTAACAGTGTGTATATTAGAATCAGTGATACTGGAGGACAACTGAGAAAATTCAACCTGCAGACTGGAATACTGAATACTGAATCTGGTTCTGCAACCAGATTTGACAAAAAAGGGCCTCAATGGACCATTAGGATAGCTGAGAGGATTGCTGGTGTCCACAGAGCATGCTTTGCAGAAAAAAAAAATACTTCACACACCCGATCACTACTTCTTTGAACTCTATACTCTACAGAAAATTGAGGCACAAGAGCAGCTTCTTACCTTAGACCACTGAAGCCTATGAATCTCTCACAAACACTTAATGCTGCCTCAGTGGTTGTCTTTATACTGCAATATCTTTGAGACATGCAACATTCTTATTTATAAATATTTGATTTACTTTATTAGTGCTTTAACAGCAAGAATGAAATTAAGTTAAATTAAATCTAAATTAAGTTTAAAATTTAAATTAAATTAATTACATTTAATTATTTTTGCTGTTAAAAATAAGTACTGGAAATGTTTATTAACAAAGTCAAATTCCTTGTGCGCGTGCGATCATAAAAGGCTAATGCAGGCTCATATATCCATAAACACATTCTTTCTTTTTGTTTGCCTCAAGTAGTTAAACTACCAAGTGTAAAGACTGTGGCTCATTTGAATATTACTTTAATCTGTTTACCAATATAAATGATTTTTCTCCATTTAGCATTTCTGAAACATGTGGAATTAACATGCATTAACTAGTAATTAAAGATTACCATTTATTTGTATCATCTGATTTGAGAATGTAGGGACTGCAAAGCATTGAAACACAACATCTCAAACATGAGTTCTGTACAGACATGGTAGTGCTTTATTATGATTTGTAACAGTGGGCGGAGTCATCTACTCCTCCACCAGTGGCGGAGGAGAAAGCTTTAGCTGGACATTCTCGCTGTGATAAATACTTCCCGTTCCTGGATGGACAGGGTTCGACAGACCGGCCCTCTCACTGCCATGAGAATGAGTGAGTTCTGTCAGAACAGCAAGCTGAAAAAAAAAGAAAACAGAGACGAAAAGTGAAAAGAAAAAAAAAAACCCCCAAAGCAAAACAACAACAAAAACAGTTAATAATTACACAGCTAAAACAGTTATTACAATGACAATAAACAAAACTTTAACGGCAAAAACTATACATTAATATAACAAAAATAATACATATAATTACAATAATAATAATAATTATTATTAAACCATTTCCTTAAAATTGAGTCAGACAGCAGAATCATTCACAACTGTTTGTGCACAGAATCATTTCAAAAAAGAAAAAAAAAATTGCTTTGAAGATTAAGATGCTGCCATGGCTGCAAATAAGTGAAACATACCCATCTGCTAACAGTGCAAGATGAATAAAGAGTGTTAAAAGCTTTTTATTGTGTCTCCAAGTGCTTTCCCTTTCAGAGTTCTGTAACAACTTTTGCCCTCTAATATTAATTTTCATATTCAATGCAATTTATCTGTTGGCTACACAAAGCCTGATAAGGTTTGGTCACGTGTGATTTTGTTCGCCGAGTCTAGGTCAACGTCAAATTTAGGGTTTCATGCCTTTTATTTTTTACACCTGGCATTAAATGGATAGTTCACCCAAAAATGAAATTCTGTCATCATTTACACACCAACATGTTGTACCAAACCTGCATGAGCTTTCTTTGTTCTCTGGAACAGTAAAAAAAAAATATTTTGATAGTTCATTGACAATGGATGTCATCGATCATCAAAAAGTATCTTCTTTTGTGTTCCACAGAAGAAAGTTCTACAGGTTTGGAATGACATGAGGGTGAGTAAATGATGACAGAATTTCTTATTTTAGGTTGAACAACCCCTTTAACACGCATTTCATGCAGCACTTAATGTCAATTATTATTGTTTTATTGACAACAGTATCAATCTGTTGGTGTTGGCCAGTAGAGGTTATGCAGTAACCTGGATTGCACCATGCAGTAAGACTGTAAAAAATTTAAACACAGACTCACACCAACCAACCCGCACTCATTAGCAGCATTAGCCTGTCCAGAGTCATTCATTAATGTGTATATTTTCAGCAGGGACCTCGTTACAGCTCGAGCAATCAATGCGCATTTAACGAAACAGCATGAATCAAACAGCATAATCTATCCTTCTCTCTCCAGCCTCACTTTGAAGCCCTCCTTTGCATCTTTATCTTCTCCTTCCCTTTCTGATCTCACTCAAATTTTCCTTTCCTCATTCCCGTCCACTCCCTCTCTAATCAGTCCCTTTCTTTCTGTGGGCAAACCAACTTTTCAGCATCAAATCCATCTGCATTACACATTTCAATGCACTCATTTTGTGTCCCCTTCTTTCTCCTGCTGTTTATTAGCAGTCTTTAAAACAGACTGCCATTTATAAGCCATAGTTCTATTCCTCAGTCAAGCTTATTTTCTTTTTTCTTTCGCTTCCCTATATAAACGGGACACCTGCTAAGCGAAGGCTACGGAGAGTGACAGATAAAAGCAAACAGAGACACGGAAAGCACGTCAGTGGCTAATCATCGCCTGTCATCGCAGTGGCTTTATTATTAGCCCCATACTGTTAGCAAACAGGCTAAACACAGAGTATGAAGTCTGGGCACGTCTAATACCAGTAACAGTCTTTCTATCATACTTTACTATGAGCAATTTTCCACACTGCTAACCAGGACTGATGTTCCTCTGTGAAAAAGCCTAGCATTAGATACTATGGCAACCATGTTATGTTTTCATTTTTTTTACTGCATCTATAGAATAATCTATATGGTTGTTTGTCTGCTTGTTTAAGAAATGTTTAGTTACTTTTACAGTATGTCATAAGTAGCACAGGTATATTTGTAGCGATAGCCAATAATACATTGTATGGGTCAAAATTATAGATTTTTATTTTATGCCAAAAATCATTAGGATATTAAGTAAAGATCATGTTCCATGAAGATATTTTGTAAAATATATCAAAACTTCATTTTTGATTAGTAATATGCATTGCTAAGGACTTAATTTGGACAACTTTAAAGGCGATTTTCTCAACATTTTGATTTTTTTTAAAGATGTTTCTCTAAATTTTGTTTTTTTTTTTGCGCCCTCAGATTTCAGATTTTTAAATAGTTGTATCTCGGCCAAATATTGTCCTAACAAACCATACATCAATGGAAGGCTTATTTATTCAGCTTTCGGACAATGTAAATCTCAATTTCAAAAAATTGACCCTTATGACTGGTTTTGTGGTCCAGGGTCACGTATAAGAAAGAGACTAGGGAGTTGGGATATACCAGTATTGACGATAATAGTGATATTTAAATAACAAAATATCGTTATCGTGTTAATTGGAGGTGTCGCAATATACCGGTAATGGCGATATTTAAAAATGGATAGTACACATAAGACAATACAACACGTAATAATCTAGAGTCAGCGCCATTATGGAGTACTAAACTCTCACATGTAATTTGTTTCATTCATACTCGACGCCGGAGGGCGCCCTCGCACAGAAAGTCCACATGCAAGACTCATAGGAGTAATAGAACTTATGATATCTCTGTAGGCATCTAGCTATCACTGTAGAGGAGTACAATGCAGAAAGAAATGTTTTATCTGATGAAACATGAAGACAATCAACACACGATTGCAACAGTGTATGGATTATCTGTGTTCTTTAAGCCATCTTAGGTATTTTACAAAGGATATGTATTTATAAGGTAATGCTAATCGACATAGCATTTATCCACTCTATAGAATCCTATAAAATAATTGAATTTCTGCCTCATTCTGTAAAAAGAATCAGTTCACAGAAGGAAGTTATTTAGAACACCCATTTAGAGTAAAAATATCTTTTATTACAACAAATTGCTGTATTTTGAAACTATATTAAACTAAAAACGGTTAGCATTTTAGTCTTATCTGTTTAGTGTAATTGATCCTTTTGTATACAATGGTGTGATTCATTGGTCAAAAAAGGAAAAAAAAAATGGATTTGACTAATAGCATGGTTTATTTATTTTTCGAGATTTCTATATGTATATTACGATATATCGTTATCGTAAATTTTTGTGGACACGATGATTGTGTAGTGAAAAATCTGATACCGTGACAGCCCTAATAGAAACTACAACAAATCTGTACATGCATTCATGTGATGTACTTCTAAGTGTGTTAGCTTGTAATGGCTTCCCAGGGTGAGTCATACATGGAGGCGATGTATGAAAGGTTCGCCTTTGTGTGAAAAATATGGTGTATGATTTAATTACATTAGTGGAGAGCTGTCAAAGTGTTAGGTATGAAAAAGGACACACTTTGTGCTATGCTGTGTGCGATGGTGCCCACTGTAAAATCCATATATGGATAAGGACGAAAAGAGATCCTGAAGGTTTATTCACACTAAGAACTACGTGACAAAGCAAGCAATTTTCCAGAACCACATAGACATCGAGCTGTTGATATTACTGGTGTCCGAGTACAAGGAAAATAATACAGCTGATAGGGATCTGAAGCAATGCATTTGGGGGGGGGTTACTGTGTTACACCACATTCTCTAACAAGAGATTGATTACAACACATTTTTGTGACCAAATATTCTAGAATTGTGTATTCTAGTGTGTAGAAGACAATTTGTAATGCAGTATATGAATGTTTCTTGTGTTTGTAATGGTTTTTATTATGCTGCAGGTAGACTTTTTCTTTCATTCAGTGTCTGGTTTGACAAGTCATTGTATTTTGCCCTGGGATGAAGGAGTGAGTGATGACAGAATGACAAAAAATAATTATTTTTCAATGTGAATGAAAGTCTAATGGGTTTTGAATGACATGAGAGTGAGTAACTGATAACAGAATATTCATTTCTAGGTGAACTATTCCTTTAAGTTGCAGGCGGTTGATTATAATACCTTTTTAATTCTGTCATTTCTTTAATTCCTTTTCATCATTTTTAAGATTGCTTAAAGTTGAATGAAAGGACGAGTTGAATGAAATGAATGAATATTTTGGGCCTCTACCCTTGGGTGGGAGAGAGGGTGACAGGATCGGGAAAGGTCCACGAGCCAAGACTTGAACTCGGGACGCCCAAAGCACAACGGGCGCTATATGTCGGCGCACTACCCACGAGGCTATCGGCACCGACGTTGTAACCTAATCTACAGTTTTAAAGCTAAAATGTCTTGATGGATTTGTTTCTTATAAACACACAGCTTTTCATTCACAAGATGTTGATTGATGGACTGGAGTCGTGTGGATTATTGTGGAGTCTCATTCTGACGGCACCCATTCACTGCAGAGCATCCATTGGTGAGTGTTATAATGCTACATTTCTCTAAATCTGTTCCCATTAAGAAATAAAATCATCATCTACATCTTGGATGGCCTGAGGGCAATCACATTTTTGCCCTCAGGCCATCCACATTATTTCTACATTTTCAGAAATATTTTGGATTAACCATTCCTTTAAGGCAATGATCAAATCTCCCAGGACAAGCTGAAACATTCATTTTAACACAAATGAAACATTTTCCAAGATTTAAAGTAGACGAAAGTGCCTCTAACTAAGAATCATCCATATAGTCCAGGGGTTTTCAAACTGGGGTCCACAAGAGAGCGCTAGGGGGTCCGCGAAAAACTTGGCAGAAACAAAAAAATTACGATTTACACAAGATATTTATTTTTAAATAATAATTTTTTTTATCCTAAAGTTATTAATGACCAAATCTGTATATAGTTTTGTGATTTATACGAGTGGATCCTTGTAATGCGTTTATCCCAAAAAATATTGCGCGCTCAACGTTTTGCATACAGTTGAATGGAGCAATTAGCGGCTATATGTACATGCACTACAAATGATGGAAAGATTTTTGAAGAATCCCTCTCCCACAAGCAGTTCGTGTAAATCTGACTTGGCGAACGCTAAGGCAAAAACTAGAAAATATAACAAATCTTACATTGCGTTTGGTTTTACCTGCATGTTAAAGCAGGGAGTCGAGAGACCCCAGTGTGTTCTCTGTCAAGAGATTATCT